CTCCTCCTCCTCCTCCTCCTCCTCCTCTTCTTCTTCTTCTTCTTCTTCTTCTTCTTTTTCGAGACAGGGTTTCTCTGTAGTTTTGGAGCCTATCCTGGAACTAGCTCTTGTAGACCAGGCTGGCCTCAAACTCACAGAGATCTGCCTGCCTCTGTCTCCCGAGTGCTGGGATTAAAGGTGTGCTGTGCCACCGCCTGGCGAATAAGAAGTATTCTTAATTGATGAACTGTCTCTCTAGACCCTTATATTTCAAATTTATATACTTTTTAAGATTTATTTATTCTGCCTGCATGTATGCCTGCAGGCCAGAAGAGGGCACCAGATCTCATTACAGATGGTTATGAGTCACCATGTGGTTGCTGGGAATTGAACAAAGGACCTTTGGAAGAGCAGACAGTGCTCTTAACCACTGAGCCATCTCTCCAGCCCCTCAAATTTATATTTTAACCACTATGATAGCATCTTCCTTTTACCCTCTGAAATATAATCCTACTTTTTTTTATAATCCTACTTTTAAGAAAGGTTTATTTTTATTTTATGTACATGAGTGTTTTGCCTGCATGTATGTGTACTATGTATAGTGCTGAGAACCCACAGTCCTCTGCAAGAGCAGCAAGTTCTTTCTAACCACTAAACCATCTTTCCAGCCCCCCACCTTATGGGGGGTTCAAGACAGGGTTTTTCAGTGTAACAGTCCTGACCTTCCTGGAATATTCTTTGTAGATCATGCTGGCCTCGAACTCACAGAGCTCCACCTGTTTCTGCCTCCCATGTGATGAGATTAAAATTAAAGGCGTGTGCCACCTACCGCCATTCACTCCCCTGCCCCCACTTGGCAGTGTCTCACTATGCCAGCCTGGCTGGCCTGAAACTCACTCATAGGTGGTTTTTAAACATAAAGCAAAGAAAGCCAGCCAAAAACCACAATCCCTGAGAACAGAATTTAGACAACAGTGAAGACCCTAAGAGAGACTTACATAGATCTAATCTACATGGGAAGTAGAAAGTAGAAAAAGACAATCTACCTGCCTCTGCTTCCCAAGTGTTGGGATCAAGGTGTGCAGAACCACGTGCAGCTAGCTGGTTTACTGCTTCTTCTGTAGTCCTTGACCTAGTTAGTCTGTCCCTGGAAAGGCCTCCTGCTACTCCACTATGGTGGCGCAGCTAGGACTACACAGGGAGAACATTTTGTAAACGAAAGAGCGCAGTGTACATCTGAGCCCAGCCCACATCTCATTTGGTCCATCTCCTGTTGTGCTCCGTGAGGTGGTGGATCTGGGGCCTGGATCTTTTAGAATTTGCCCCCATGAACAGACAGTTGATAAGCGGGAGGAACTCCCCGGTAATTAGCAGCTATTGCTAGGTAACTGAAAGACCCTGATAAATTCAGACCCCTCTAGCAGAAAGGGTAGAGCCAAAAATCTAGGTTAGCCGGTTCAGTGACTCTGTTCCTGGAATTAGCTGACCATTAAGTTAGATTATAATCTTGAGAAATGGGGAGTTACCCCCTTGTGATTATCACCGGTAATTTGGAACTTTCCAATGATGCCCTCCTTCCTCACTTTGGGCTGTGATTTCTTCCCCTAAATACCCACTCTCCCAGCTACTCGAGGTCGAACTCCTCTACCCCTGTGTGGGAAATGAGTTTCGGCCCCAGCGTGCTGGTTCCTGTCAATAAACCTCGTGTGATTGCAGCAAAGATGGTCTCTTGTGAGTTCCTGTGGGGTCGTGTTATCCCGAGACTTGAATCAGAGTCTCCCCACTCTGGGGGTCTTTCATAACTTTACAAATGTGTGTTGAGAGACTGGAGAGATGGCTCAGAGGTTAAGAGCACTGGCTGGTCTTCAGGAGGTCCTGAGTTCAATTCCCAGCAACCACATGGTGGCTCACAGCCATCTGTAATGAGATCTGGTGCCCTCTTCTGGCCAGCAAGCATACAGACAGACAGAACACTGTATACACAATAAATAAATAAATCTTTAAAAAAAAACACCAAATGTGTGTTGAACAACTACTGTGTGAATGGACAGGGTTCACACAGCAGGGTCTGGGGATAACCAGATCAGATCCCAAAGCAGCCAGATCCTCAAGGAGGCCTTGGGAGGAGTCTTACTTTGGAAGTGGGAAGGAAACAGCCTTGTTTCAGATGTTTTGTTTGATTACAGTATTTGTTATCGTGTGTGTGTGTGTGTGTGTGTGTGTGTGTGTGTGTGTGTGTGTGTAGATTGGGTAAACCAGAGTCAGTTCTTTCTTTCTACTGTGAGTGCTGTAAATCAAGCCAAGGTTGTCAAGCTTGGCAACAGGCATTTTTACCTGCTGGCCCATTTCACCAGTATGTTGGTTTTTTGAGACAGAGTCTCCCTGTGTAGCCCTGACTGGCCTGGAACTCTTTGTAAACCATGCTGTCCTTGGACTCACTGAGAGCCACCTGAGTGCTAGGACTAAAGGCATTCACCATTAGGCCCAACTATTTTTACTTTTGTGTTTCCCCTGCGTGCCTGTAGGTGCACTGTGTACGGAACCTACGGGAACTGGATCTGGGAACTGAACCCAGGTACCTTGTCTTTGAGATGGGGTTTCATTTTGTAGACTAGCTTGGCCTGGTGTCATGGGCAGTCTCTCACCATAGCCTCCTCAGTGGTGGGGTTACAGGAACGGGCCACCGTCAGGCCTGGATTCCAGTAGGAATATTTTTGTTTATTTTGGTTTTGGAGAGAGTTTATCTGCGTAGCTTTGGAGCCTGTCCTGGAACTTGCTCTGTAGACCAGGCTGGCCTGAAACTCTGCCTCCCGAGTGCTGGGATTAAAGGCATACGCCACCACCACCTGGCCTAGTATGAATTTTTTTTGTTTTTGTTTTTGAGACAGGGTTTCTCTATGTAGTCTGTCCTGTATCTCACTCTGTAGGCCAGGCTGGTCTCAATCTGCCTGCCTCTGCCTCCCAAGTGTTGGGGTTAAAGGTGTGTACCACCACTGCCCAGTCAGCACATCTTTGTTATTTTATGTGTATATGGGTATTTTGTCTACACGAATGTCTGTGCACTGTATGTGTGCAGCCTGCACAGGCCAGAAGAGGGCATCCAAGTCCCAGGAACTGGAGTTACAGATGTTGGGAATCAAACTGACCTCTGGAAGAGCAGCGAGTGCCCTTAACCATGAGCCATTGCTCCAGCCCCTTGTATGAAATTTTTTTAAAATAATTTATTTTATGTACACTGGCATTTTGCCTGCATGAGGGTGCTGGATCCCTTGGAACAGAGTTAGAGACAATTGTGAGCTGCCATATGGATGCTGGGAATTGAACCCAGGTCCTCTGGAAGAGCAGTCAGAACTCTTCAACCACCGAGCCTAGTATGAGATCTTAACATCTGAGGCTTTTTTCTCTCATCAAGCCTAACCAAAAGTCCTCATAGACCGTCCTTGAGAGTAATACACCTGCTCAGTTGTCAGGCTTCCGTGACTGGGCACTGGAGGCCCTGGAGGCCAGGCTTGCAAATCTGAGCCGCTTTCTCCCTCTGCTGGCCATCTTAAGCATGACACCTAGCCTTGCTTCACAGCCGTCCTTGTTATCTCTGGCCTCCTCTACTTGGTTTGCTCAGACCCTGAGAATACCCCAACTCAAAAGCCTTCGGCCTTGGAGGCAGCTGGATTTCTTTCTCAACCTGGTCACTGAGCCTCTGAACTATCAGCTGAGGGCCCAGGGTGTGGCCCACAGCAGGTTCCACAGGTTTGTGCGGAATAGCGATTTCTGGCTTCCTGCTGCCTTCTGTACCATGTGGCAGGGTGGTGCGGAAAAGGCACAGGCTGGGGTTTGTATTCCAGCCCCTACTATCTGGGTGACATTGGCTCCTGAGTGACTCAAAATCCCAGTGCACTGGTTCTTTTCTTGAATAGTTCATTTATAAAACGGCCTCAAGACCCAGTGTGGCTCCTAGAACCCTCTGCCTATAAAATTCCAGCTCCAGTGGCTCCTAGAACCCACTGCCTAGAATTCCAGCTCCAGTGGTTCTTAGTATCCTCTGCCTGGAATTCCAGCTCCAGGGGGTTTTGAGGTCCATTGCCTGCCTCACGTATGCAGACTCCTGAGTCCTGTGCACACAACCACACAAGCAATTAAAAAACAAAAATCCTCAGCTGGGAGGTGGTGGCCTTTAATCCTAGCACTGGGGAGGCAGAGGCAGGCAGATCTCTGGGAGTTCGAGGCCAGCATGAGTTAGTTCCAGGACAGGCTCAAAAGCTACAGAAAAACCCTGTCTCAAAAAACTAAAAACAAAAACAAACAAAAAAAAAAAACCCAAAAAACCTAAATCCTCATTCCTTTAGCTGCAGCACTTGGGAGGCAGAAGGACCTTGAGTTCAAGGTCATCCTCAGCTACACACAAAGTTCCAGGACTTGATCACATAAAACCATCTCAAAACTCACAGAAACAGGAAGGCTCAGCAGTGGAGGCACAGCCCTAGTGTGGTCCACCCTGACCGGTTAGGACCCTTTGTACTTTCTGTGAACTCGCCTGCCGGCTGGGGTACTGGACAAAGGGGCTGCCGACTGCTGGGTGCTGCCAGGGCAGGGTAGGCAGCCGTAGTTTGGGTCGGAGACCTCATCCTAAGGGGCCCAAAGACAGAGCTTGGATGTGAGACTTGGACAGCCTCAGGGTGGGGAGGTAACAGTGAGTCTCTCGGCAGATACCCCCAAATAACTGAGATATCTGCTAATGGAACAGGGTAACAGCCCAGAGACAGCTGTCCAGGTGAGAACTTTCTCTCAAAGTCCCCAAGAATTCCCCTCCTTCAAACTGTGTCTCTTAGCTTCTGAATCCTCCCAGCTGTCCCCACTGTTTAGGACAGAGTCATCTGCCCAAAGCCACAGGCTTCTCCCAAGGGTTAAGTTCACAGGTTTAACAACCTGTCAGATCTGGGGACAGGAAGGTAGGAGATGCGGACCTTACCCCAAGTGCTAAGGGACCAGAGAGGCAGGAGGCAGGCAAGAGTCAGACTAAGAGGTCAAGGTTGAGGCAAAGTTTATTGGCCCCGGAGCCTTCCCCCTCACACCTGCTCCACCCAGTCAGGCTAGGATTGAGTTGGAGAAGGCAACAGACTCACAGACAGGCAGGAAGGCTGCATCAGGGAGACACACAAAACTCTCCTCTCCCCACCCTCCCCAAGACAAAGACGCAGGGAACCTGGAGAAACAAGGAGTGTGATCAAGACTTCTTGACACTGGGGCCCAGTGGCCACATGCTGTCCCTCCTTTCCCAGAGATGCAAGCAGGGTTGGTGATGCTTTGGCAGCTGTGGCCCAGGATCCTCGGTGGACGTCCATGGCCGGCCACTATAGTCTCTGGCTACTCGGCTTCCTGAGTCTGGAGGCTTTTGCCTTGGCCTCACTTGTAAGTACCCTTCCTTTTGGAGGGAGCTTGGCAACCCCTCTCCTGCTCCCTGCCCTGTTTGACTAAAGACATTATCCTAAAGGGGTCTGTCAGCAAGCCTGGACCCAGAGGCCTCGCCTGGCCCAGAAGATAGCTTGGACACGAGACTTTCACAGAAAGCCTTGGCAGGGTCGAGGAGGCGGCAGTGAGTCACTTGGCAGTTTGGGAGGGAGGGGATCAGCACCTAGGGGCGGAGGTGCGGGCCCTGCTAGCTTTGGTCTGGCATTGCCCAGGACCCTCTGGGGCAGAAGCTGGGGCTCTGAATCCAGCATCCTCTGGCCCTCAGAGGGAAGTAGGGGGAAATCATAGCTTCTCCTCGCCTGCCTGGATGCGGGTATAGGCTTCTTGGTCCAGTGCAACATAGCAGCCCTTCCGGGCATCCAGATAGAACAGTGGGTCTCTCACAACAGCTGGGTTAAAGCCTTCCTTCCGCAGCTCTGTCTTCTGGAACTTGAAGGTCCCTAGGGAGTAGGAAAGAAAATTCAGAAAGTACAAGACAGGGGTCTGAACTAGAAACTGAAGGAAGTGCTGAGAAACGAGAGCTAGGGAAGAAACGGCGCGGGAGGAAGGGGCCAGGCTCTTCACGGTCCACAAGGAATGCTCATCGATCACATAGGGAACTGCCCCTCAAAGCACAGTGGTGGAGGGCGGAGACAGGACACAGGGACACCATACGCCCCACACCATTGAATGACAGCAAAGTGGAGGCCAGAATCTGGGTCTCCTCTGAGCACTGACTGGATGAAGCGGCCTCAACGCCCTGAGGCAGGTGCTCAACCATATTCTAAATGATTGCTTTCTTCCTTCTTCCTTTCTGGATAGGGTCTCACTGGAGAGCCCTGGCTGTCCTCCAAATTCACAAAACCCGGCTCTGGCTCTCCAGGGCTGGGATTACAGATATGCATCACCATGCCTTGCTTGTTACTCATTTCTGAACCCAAATCCCACAGTTAGTAAGTGGTAGAGTTAGGTTTTGAACCTGCTCTCCCTGCATCCGCTAGCCTCTGAAATGTCTGCTGCAGAATTTCGGACTTAATCTAGGCCTCAGGAGCCAGTTCCCCCCCCCCCCCCCACCCCGTGCTCTTGGGAGTACCTTGAGACCAGACAAGCCTTGCGAAGATCAAAAAGCTACATGAAAGGGAATCCACCCCAGGTGAGGCCACTGGGCCAGCACAGCTCACATGCAGGTTAAGTACGATTTCAGTTCCTCAGTCACACTAGCTCCACCTGGAACGCTCACTCCCCCACAGCACTGCTGCCACCAGAGTGGACAGAAGAGATGCCAACACTCGCATCAGCATAGAGTTCTGCAGGACAGAGCTGCAGCAGAGCAGCCATGAGACCTGTGTGTGTGACTGCGGCCTCTGCAGTTCTACCACCCACCTTAGAGCTGAATCAAAACCCCCAATACTGTGACCTTTAGAAACCTTTGCTTGTAGTTCATTCTGCAGCAAGGCTGACCTCAACCCTCAGGAAGTTCAGTCTCAGTTGTGAGCCATTTTTTTGGGTTTTTTTCTTTTTTTGAGACAGGGTTTCTCTGTGAAACAGTCTTGGCTATCCTGGAACTTTGTAGATCAGGCTAGCCCTGAACTCACAGAGATCTGCCTGCCTGTGCCCCTAAGTGCTGGGATTAAAGTCTTTTGCTGCTATTTTATTGTTGAGACAGGGTTCTGTTTATTGTGTAGCCAAGGCTGGCCTTGAACTATCCACCCTCCTTCCTCCACCCCAAAGCGGAACAGGTGTATTAGCACACAAACCCCAGCCCATTATCTTTGGAATTCCTTTGGAATTTTCCCCTTCTGGGTCTAAAAGATTCCAAGGACCTCAAGTCTAATCGGACAGTATCTCAGAACCACAAGGCAGCCCCAGAGAACAGTGCTCATTCTAAGGGATGTTGAACCTTCTCTGAAGGCTGTTTCCACAAATTTCCATACTAGCAGGGCAGAATCTCAGCCCCAGGGCAAGGCTGTGTGTCAAGGTCAGAGACCAATCAGGAGTTCATACTACAGGAAGACTGAACCTTGGAATCTAGGAGCTGGAAAAGGGGCAGACCTGTTTTATGCAGCTCAGGCAGGAAGCGCATGAAGATGGGGCGGGCATACAGAGGCAGCTCCTTTTCCAATGTCTGTGCAAAGCGCTTCAGGTCACAGCTGCTCGCAGGGCTTGCCACAGCAGCCATTCCTGCTCTGCCCTCAGTTCCTGGGAGCAAGAGGGCACATGTGAGTGTCAAGCAGTGTCCCGGCACACCCACCGTCCTCCCCATACATACCTGGTACCTCGACACCATACACGGCCACATCGGCCATCTCCAGCAGGCGGCTGAGTGTGCCTTCTACTTCGGTGGTAGACACATTCTCCCCTTTCCAGCGGAATGTGTCCCCTGTGCGGTCTCGGAAGTAAATGTAGCCCAGCTCATCCATCACCAGCACATCACCTAGAGAGGTGTACAGTGTCGGGATTGGGCCAGCCTAGCTCTCGATAGCCTAGCTCTTGACCGAGGTTGAGTCAGGCGGTCATCCCTGAAGCTCAGGGGCTGGGTTTTGAGGAGTCCAGGGATGTGTTCTCTGGGTCAATGGAAGCTCCCCTCATCTCTCCCTCTGGAAGGGACAGCAAAGAGCAGGGAACTTACCAGTGAGGTAGGCTTGGTCCCCCTTCTTGAAGACATCCTTAGCGATCTTCTTGTTGTTGGCACCCTGGTTGAGGTAACCATCAAAACGGCGCAGGGGGTCCTGCTGGATGATGCGACCCACCAGCTGGCCTGGCTGGCCTAGGGACGAGAAAGGCAGTCAGATGCAGCCTAGTCTACCTGTCTTCTCCCACAAAGGCACCCTACACCTTGAGCTGACTTAATGTAAGCTGCCTACCACAGAAATGCCCCATGTAAGCTGGGCAGTGGTGGCACTCAGGAGGCACAGGAAGGGCATCTGAACAATTGGACACACTGAGCCCTGCTCCCGCCCTGGCTCTTCTCAGACTTTCATTTCATTCATCACACACAAGCCTTAGGGCAGCCCCTGGGCTATGTGCAGCCATCACCCCCGTGTGAGGTGACAGATTCTATTGGCTCTAACACAGTACAGGCTGAGGAAGAGTCAACCCTAGGTGACCAGGACGGGGCTGTCTCAGGAAGGTGTGCAGGTGGCATGGTGCGTGTATGAAGGTAAAGTTATGGCAGCAGAAATGGGTAACGTGCCCCTTAGAAGAGTGCCCACACAGAACAGGTTTCTGTAGTTATCTACACTGGCTGACTACCTCCAAGACATGCTTTCCCTCCTCGGTGCCCAGTTCCCTCATGGGGCAGACCTGGTTGACAGGGAATGCAGACGCCGTCAGGTCCCCGGATCAGTTCCATGGTATCCTCATTGACTCGAACCAACCGGATGGGGTACACGAAGGACAGGATGCGGCTGTTGAAGCCACAGGCCCCCACCTGCAAAGGCGAGACTTGGGCCGGGGCTCCGTGGACTCCCCAGTAAGACAGTGGGGCTAGAGGGACCCTGCTCTTCACTCTCAGGCTGAAATTCTCCTTAGCCCTCTGCAAGCCTAGGGCCTATTGTGGTCCATCCCCACAGCACCTTCTTACCCCAATCTGTACCTTACCTGGCTGTCAAAGTTGCCCAGGCTACAGTTGCACTCAGTGGCCCCATAGAACTCGGCCACTTGGGGGATGTGGAACCGGCTGGAGAAGTCGGTCCAGATGGACTGCCGAAGGCCGTTGCCCAGTGCCATGCGCACCTTGTGCCGAGACTCAGCCTCCCGGGGCGGCTGGTTCAGGAGGTAGCGGCAAAGCTCGCCAATGTACTGTACAATCTGAGGTGGGTATAGGCGTGGGTGTGAGTCCACGCTCTAGGGGGCGCCACTCGTCATCTCTCCATTCTTCCAGCCCTCCCCAGCAGGGGCTGAACAGTTCCTTCTCTCTCTGGGCCTCAGATTTCCCATCTGAACCATGAAAATGCTGCCCAAGGAACCGTTCTAAACAGCCTCAGCTGTTCAGATGCCTCCACGTGTGGGTGGCGGGAGGAAGACAGGGGGATGGGGCTGCTCATGCCTGTCCCTTCTCACTCACTGTGCAGTTGTACTTGATACAATCATCCCAGAACCGGGAGGCTGAGAACTTCTTCCGGATCACCACGGTCATGCCATGGAGTAGACACTGGCCTATCCCCACGATGTTTCCTAAGTCAGAGGGGCCTGGAGGTTAAGGAGATAGAGAGCCAACCCCAACAGACTCCTCTGGCTCAGGCTTGCCTCTTTAGAGACAGGGTCTCAGTCCAGGCAGGCCTCAGGCTTGCTGTACAGGAGAAGACAGGCCTTGACCTCCTGATCATCCAGCCGCCACTTCCCAAGCCTTGGGATTACAGGAGTTCACCACCGCAGCCAGCTCCTAGTCCTAACTTTTCACAGACCCTTCCCTTGGTCCCCTCCTGTTCTGTCCCACTACACTAACTGGCCACACCTCTCTTCTACCAACCACGTCTCCATCCACAGTGTCTGTGGAATCAAGGCCGCCCCCAGTCGGCACAGCTGCCATTTAATAAAACACTGCGAGCTTCCTATCCGGCACCTGTCTCCTCTAGAAGGTCTTCTCAGCCCCCAACTGGTCTTCCCGTGTATGACACCTGTGCTTCTTGCCCCTCCCTTACCTTCATTAAGTCATCTCTCCCCGAGGTCAGGCAGGTCCCCAGCATCCCCCTGCCTCCTCCAAACACACAGGCCTCCTTGAATTATCTTGGAGGTCAGAACAACACCAGCCTCAACACCCAGCAGGCACCGACCCACACCAGGAGTCTCGTGTCACCGTCAGTGGAGTCACTGCCCTTGCCTCAATCGGAACCCAGATTTGTGGCTAGAAAAGTGGGGCCCCTAAAGACACAGGGTGCTAGCAGCTAAGGGAGGCCCAGGGTTACCTGCTGAATGGTAGAGAGGGAGGCAGTCATAGACAATGTCGTCAGGCCGCATGCGGAATCCGTAGTACACCAGGGCAGCCATACGGTATTACCTGCAAGGGGACAGGGTAAAGAGCTCAGTGGGCATTCTGGAATAGCAGAAGGAAGCTTCGCAGTCCCACGGGGTCACTTCCACTTGCCCCTTACCTGCTGTTCACCACAATGGCAGCCTTGGGTAGCCCTGTGGTGCCCGACGTGTAGACATAGAAGAGCTTATCTGAAGGGAACAGACATGCAGGTTACTGTGAGGCCAGCGCAGGACAGCACAGGGAAATGGAAGGTGCAGGCCCGTCGACATTTCTTCCTACCCTTCTGGAGACCTCTACCAGGTGCCAGCCTGAGCCAGGCTGAGTGTGACAGTCAGATGAAGACATGATACCTGACCACCAAACCTGAGCATGGGAGCATAGGCTGATGAAACCTGGAAGTACCATCTGGCTAGGCTTCCAGAAGCAAAGGCCACAGTGCCAGGTAGGCTTCCGGAAGGAAGGGATGTCTGCCTCGAGGCTTAGCTGCAAGAGGACTACTTGTTGGGAGTGGTGGTATACGACTTAAGCAGTCTGGAGGCAGAGGCGGGAGAATCTCTGTGAGCTTGAGACACAGAGAGCTAAAGGACAGTGAGAACTACACAGACAGACACTGTCTCAAAAAATAAAAGACCGGCATGGTGGCTTTTAATCCCAGCACTCAGGAGGCAGGGGCACCGAATCTCTGTGAGATCAAGGCCAGCCTGGTCTACATACTGAGTTTCAGGACAGCCAGGGCTATGTAGAGAGACCCTGTGTCAAAAAAAAACAAGAAAAAAAAATAATATAATAAAGGAGTGGGTATTATGGCTTCTTTGCATCACTGATGTCTATTCCCTGCCCACATGGGGGCTTGTCATAAGGCTCAGTCAGTCTTTTAGAGGGTGTGTGTGTGTGTTGAGTCTCTGGAGGTCAAGAATTCCAGCGGATGATACTGACAGCAACCACCTCAGGTGGTGTAGCACCTGCTGTGTGCCAACCTTGGGCAGTATGAGGGCACTAGGGTGAACCAGCCATGGTCCCTGCCTCAAGCCACCTCCCAAAAGCATCTAAGAAGTAAGAGATGGAGAGGCTCAACAGGAGAAATGACAAGTCACCAAGTCCTTCCTGCCAATACCCTCGCCTCATGGTTGACCTTAAATATCAACCCATAAAGCTGATTGCTACTATCCCCAGCTTTATTGCAGTGGAACCTGAGGCTAAGCGGGCAGGTCTGTGGCCCTGGGTCACACAAGTAGCAGAGGATTCCTGGAGGAGGGGCAAAGGCAGTCAGGTGCAGGGCTGGGATCTGGCAGAGCCTAAACTCAACAAGCTAGAAGGATACGCCGAGGCTCTCACACGTACCCGCCTCTCCATCTCAACTCCTGGCTAAGACTCATAGCAAGTGGCAGGGTGCACACAGTCCTACAGACAGGCACTAGCATGAGCTGCTTCACAAATCCCACAACGCCACCTTACCAGTAACCCCGGTTCATCCTATTTCCAGTGCTCATCACAACCCTCCAGGGTGCTGAGAGGCCCACCTGTAAAGCCCTTGTCAGGATGACTGGGCAGGTGCTTCGGGGCATTTTCTAGCAGAGGGTCCAGATGCTCTGTGTTGGCAGGCACTGTGCTGGGCTCCCAGGAACCAGAGCAGAAGAGGCTGAGTGAGGGCTTCAGGCTCTCATGGATCTCAGAGACGGCTGCAGGGGAGAAGATGCGGGTCAGAAGCCCCGTGTTCCCATGTGCTATGCCATGGTTAAGCATGCTGTCAGGGAAGACTGGCTGGTGTGGGGAAATGGGTAAAACACATCACTCCTGACTGGACACAATGCCTTACCCATAGTTCCTGTTCTTGTAAAGCTACCAACATCAATTTCCCACCTCCCTGCCCTCTGATCCCGCTTTAAAAAAAATGTAGCTATGTATCTGGCCTGATATTGCTATGTAAGCCAATCCTCCTGCTTCAGCCTCCTAGTGCTGGGATTATTAGCATACACCATCATGTCAGCTACCATCTGTCCATTTTACAGACGAGGAAAGTGAGTGCTAAGGATGGAAGACATGGCTCTAGCTCATGCCAAGCTTTTCCTACTCTACTATGACTCTCTGTAGGGACTAATTAGAGGACAAGAGGAGGTCGTGGCTCCAGTTCTCAGGAAACCTTTCCTCAGGCCTCCTGGAGCTGCATAGACTCTATTCTCCCTGGGCAGGAGACAATCCTGGCCCATTGGCTCTGCTTTCTCTAGCTTTAAATTCTGGTGCTGGAGAGATGGCTCAGTGAACTGAGTTCAGTTCCCAGCAACCACATGGTGGCTCACCATCCATAATGGGATCTGATGCCCTCTTCTGGCATGCAGGTGTACATGCAGATAGAGCATCATGTGCATAAAAATAAATAATCTCTTTTAAAAAGTTCTTTCTTCAATGCAGCCCAGGGCCTCGCACATGCTAGGAAAGAGCTACGTCCTTATTAGTCTTTCTGGCTTCCCTTGACTCCCCCAACCTTTTCCTTCCCTTCTGCATGTTTCCTTCTCCACAGCAGTGTGGGCAGAAAGAGCAGGGAGGCTGTGGTCCAGCCCAAGATCAAATCCTGGTACTGCTGTGGAACTGTGTGACTCTGGGTGAACGTCTTACGCCCCTCCTAAACTGGTCTCATCATCCAAGAACCAAGACAACAATGCCTCTCTCCTGGCTTAGTGAAGCTCAGGGCTGGGCAAAGCATGTTTGGCAATAAATAAACTCAGGCCTGAGAGGAGAGTAGGGACTGGATTCCCCCTCGACAGATGAAGAAGAGTCTGAATCTACCTGAGGACCAGCCAGCACTGGCCACTTTGCTGGTGCTTTAGAGCAGGAACCTTGAGATTTGCGGTACTGCAGATAGGGAAACTAAGGTTTAGGGAATGTGTTGTCCACAAAGGCTTGCCAAGGTCCAGAAGCTCCAATGCCCAGACTCACACGGCTAGAATGGGGTTGTCATCACCTGTGTAAGTCCCATGGGTCTTCTACTTACAACTCACCTGAGGCCATCTCGCTGCCAAAAATAAGGGCTAGTGCCTTTGAGGTGTCAAGACAGTGGCGCAGGGCATCACGTCTAAGGTTGGTGTTGATGAGAGCCGCCTCCACGCCCAGCTTGGCCATGCCCAGCCATAGACCCACAAACTCATTACGGTTCTCCATAAAGAGGGCAACTACATTGCCTGAGACCAGGCCCCGGGCCTGCAAGAAGTTGGCCACACGACTGGAGTAGTCATCCAGCTGGCGGAAGGTCCAGTGGGTGTCTGTGCCCTCGAAAATCAGGGCTGTCTTGTCGGGGTGGCGCCGCACCACTGAGGCAAACAACAGGGGCACTGTCTTCCTCTCCTGAAGGTACCGTCGAACCTTTGCCTTCACCTTCAGGAGCACTATGCCGCCACTGTGTGGGAGCAAGGAAGCCATGAGTGCTGAGCCAGTCAAGTGCTGCTGTCCTAAGGGCCAGAGTCTCAGGAACCAGCTTTCTGGTTTTTTTTTTTTTTTTTTGGTTTGTTTGTTTGGTTGGGTTTTTTTTGTTTGTTTGTTTTTGTTTTTCAAGGCAGGGTGGAGCTTGCCCTGGAACTAGCTCTTGTAAACTAGGCTGGCCTTGAACTCACCTGCTTGCCTCTCCCTGCCTCCCAAGTGCTGGGATTAAAGTTGTGCACCACCCCCACCCGCTAGGAACCAGCTTTCTAACACCCTCAATTGTCAACTCCTCCTGGGTGCTTGGCACTGTCTATATACCCTCACTGAGGCCTCACAGCAGCACTGAGAGCCATAGTTACTCTCCCTTGATGCAGGAAGAGGAAAAATAAAACACCTCAGGTTTTCGTGGTGCCACAGCTGGCCCAGGGCTTCAGAGGTCAAATGTAACTGAGCCAACAATCCAAAATCGGGTCTCTCTGGGGTTCAACTCCAGAGTTCCACTCTTCTACTTGTTTTTTGAGACAGTATCTCTCTATTATGCAGCTCTGGCTTCCCTGGAACTCACTATGATAGCAGGCTGGTCTTGAACTTACAGAGACACAGCTGCCTCTGCCTCTCAAGTGCTGGGATTAAAGGTGTGCGCCACCATGTCCAGCTCCAGAATTCCACTCTAATTCTCTTCTGAGTCTGCGGTTCTGCCAGAAGCCCTCTGGGGCCCAAGCCCATAGTCTAGCCTCCCTTGGCCCTCACTGCAGAGAAATCAGGGATGAGTCTTCCTCCCTAAATGCAGAGGCAGGTATGTGTCATAGTTACTACCTTGTCCCGGAGGCCTTCTCCGCACTGGGCACAGGGCAAATGTCCCGTGCTGGGAGAACCATCTTCACATGTCACCCCACCAATCCCCTGCTTCTGCACCTTTGCCAGTGTCCTCTGCTGTGCACTGGCCTCCCTCGCCTTTGCCAGTGTCCTCTGCTGTGCACTGGCCTCCCTTGCCTGCACGGAACCTTCCAGGCACAGTCCTTTCTCTCCAGGAAGCCTCCTGGATTCCTGGTTTCAGTTCCTTGCCTGAGGCCCTGTCTCCCCATTCCATGCTCCCACAGCTCCTGTGGGACCCCTGATACCTCCTTTTATAGTCAGCCCAGACTGACAAAGTGAGCTACCTGCTCTAGGTTCCTAGGTGGAACTCAGGAGTGAGCAAGACGGCCAGAGCCTCTGCAGCATGGTGCTGCCAGCTTAGGGAGTTACTTCGTCCCTTTCTTACCTCCTGACTAGTCTGAGTCTGGCAGAAGGAGTCTGCCTTTCTCCTCTCTGGGCCTCAGAGCCAGCCCAGCCTGGCATTAGAGAAGCTGGGAGCAATTATTCCCAGATAGCTGGGGCCTGTGCTAACATCCACTGTCGCCTTGGGTTCTCTCAGGCTGTGCCAACCTGAGGAAAGGTCCTTTTCCTTTGGGATTTTCTTCACCTTGCAATAAACCAGTGTTCTCAGGATCCCTTACAGACATCTCTCCAACCAACCTGCCCCAGGTCAGGGAGTCTCAAGTTGGAGACTTTGACCTTGGAGATGAAAGTACCTGGCACGGCAGCCAGGAGAAGGGCATGAAGAAGAGGCTGCCCTTTGTGACCCCGCTATCTTATGCTGGCGGGGATAAAGGATGGTAAAGTCCAGCCATTTTTTTTTGAGACCCCCCAAGAAGGGCTAGATATGGTACTCACAAGACATCTCGCCTGACGGTCTTGATGAAGATCCGGACGAAGCGCCAGCCGCCAGACCCCAAGTATAGGAGCAATAGGGAGAATCCCACTTGGGTCCAGGGCAGTTTCAGCACCAGCTTGGAGAACAGTAGTGCCCCCACCAGAGATGCCCCAAGCAGCATTGTGACCTGCAGGTACAAGGTGGTTAGGAGACTCAAAGGACGATTTCTTTAGGGGCCTCAACCTCTTGACCTAGCAGCCACTTCAGTTTGATCCCAAAAGGTCCCCCAAAGGGACTGCTTAGTCACCTCAAAAGGAGTGGCTTAGAATAAGGTTCAAGACTTTGGTTCCACACCAAGCTGGAAGGGATTGAGGTAAAAAGCTCCAGAGTTAGCTGCGCCATGGTGGCGCGTGCTTTTAATCAAATCACTCAGGCAGAGGCAGGAATCTCTGTGAGTTTGAGGCCAGCCTGGTCTACAGAGAGAGTTCCAGGACAGTCAGGGGAGCTGTTACATAGAGAAACCCTGTCTCAAAAAATAAACAAACAAAAATCCCCCCAAAACTCTGGGGTTAAGCAAGAGGATGGTCTAACTTCTAGTTCTATCTCTGACCACCACGCCAAGTGACCTTGGGCTAGCCCCTTTCCTATTCAGGCCACAGCACTCTGCTCTATGCACTGGGGGTTAGTAAGACTTGTTCTTAGAACCTTTCCAGCCCAAACAGGACAATCCACTCACCTATATTCAAGTATCCTACCCAAGATGGCTGGGAGGTGGGTACTGATAAGTGAGTGCCTCTGGCTTGACTCCTCTCCCAGGGACTCCAGGAGGTTCTGGAGATGACAACACCCAAAAGGGCAGTTTCCTGGGAAGGGAACCCTGCACAGTCTCTGCCCACGGACTCAAGCGTTGTGCCTCTATTGGTCCATAGAGGGCGAGCCAGCAAATGGGTTAGAGGCTAGAGGGGCCTGAGAGGTGACAGCTCTGAGGTAGGGAGGAAGGAGATGGCTGTTGGAAACCACAATCCTCACCTACACCCACATACTCAGCAAGCCCCTAAGATGAATCTTGGGGGACTGGGGTTGAGGGGAAGGGGAAAGGCTGTGCAAGACAGGGCAGAGATTAAGGCCAGGCACACTATTCTTGCTTCTTTATGGACTTGGTGAAGAGGACAGCTAATGGATTGCTTTTCTTAGTGTTTTCCTTTTCTTGGGAAGAGCCGAAGGTCAAAGCTTGAATATCTCCAAGCTAGGCGGAGGACCATGGCCTGAATCACAGGGAACCCCTTATGAGTGAGACCATCTTCTGGTGGAAAGCATTAAGCTAGGGGTGGGAGGACTAATGCAGGATCCCCAAGATCAGAAAAGAGGCTACTAGCCAGTCCAAGACCGCTGAGAGAGAAGACAGAACAGGAGGGGGTGTCGCGGACCGACCAGCGTGATAGATAGCCCGGACATCAGAGCGCAGGGCTGGGAGAAGGGGAGGGAGGGCGCGCCCCTCAGCCCTGGCCGGTGCCGCCGTTTCCCCCTGCTCGGCCTGGCACGTTCCCCCGCTCAGAAAGCCGCCGTCCCCGCCTTGGCTCACCCGGCTGCGGCTGCGCGGCGCGGCGCCCGGTCAGGATGCGGCCCGGTTGCGGCAGCGGAGTGCGGAGCGCTGGGGGCATCGGCCGCCCCGGGGCGCACACAGCCGAGCCTCAGCACGCCCGGCCCGCTCCGTGCCCTGGTAGGATCTGTACCTCCGCCGCACTCCACCCCCGCCCACCTCCCGCACCCGCACCGGCTGTGCCGGCCGCAGCACCACCTTCCGCCCCGTCCCGCAGAGGGCGAGTCTCTGAGCCCGTGCGCTCAGCGCAATCCAGCCCCAGCGCGCTCGACACCGCCCAGCCCCGCCAGCCCTGCGCGCGCCACTGCCTCCGCTGCCCTCTGGGAGTGGTGGGTACAGCCGCGCGACATGCTGGGAATTGTAGTCCGAGTAGCCTCGCGAGGCTAGGCTGATTTAGATGCCCTAGTCAAGGAGAGTGCAGATCTGCAATTCTCTGGACCAGAGGACCCAGTGAGACTATACCTGCACACATGGCCATTCGAGAATCCGGAGTCAAGTAGAATTTATTTATTACTTTTTTTTTTATTTGTTTGCTTATTTCTGTGTGTGTACGCATGTACCAAAACCTTGAGTGCCCAGAGGACAACTTGGGGGAGTTGGTTCTGCTCTTACACCATGCAGGCTCCAGGGATCTAATTAGATATGGTCTTCAGGCATGGGGACAGGTACGCTCTCTGAGCTACCTTGCCAGTCCTGTTTATTTTTTGAAACAGGGTCTTACTCTGTGGTCACACTGTCTTGGAACTTGCTGCCGTCAGTCTACTTCAGCCCTGAGATCACAGGCATGAGCTACCATACTTGCCTTGAAACGAAATTTAACAAATGCTTAACAACACTCACTGAAAGAAAAGGCTGGATTCTTGCAGAGATGAACACACAAACTCAAATTGTAGACTCTGGCAGAATATATAGGACGCCGGGCTTCTAGCCCAGCCGGAGTGGTCATTCCCCACAGTTGAGTAGGGCTACTTCCTCAGCTCCTTTACGGTTTTCATCACCTATGCAAGGGTCAGGAAGAGCTGAAGAGCCAGACTTGGCGGCTGCAGAAGATCTCCTTGATGTTATGGATTTAAAGCCCATAAATAACTTTAGCCTCTGACTGATAGGACACTCCAGAGCGTTGGCTCCTATTTAAACCTAGGACTTTTGCCCTGTGCCTAGCTGTGGGTCAGGGTTCAGATGAGCAGCCCTGCGGGGTTCGGAGCCTCTGAGAGGAGTAATTACTCATCTTCAATCCTCTATTACTGCCACTTGCCCTTAAGTAGCTCCTCCAGTGACTCGGCCCAATAAAGTTCTTAAAGAGGGGAGGGGCAGTTCTAAGGTCTGTTTATAGGGATTACAGATAGAATTTTGGTATGATGATTTAGACCAGTTTGTTCTGGAGTTCATCCTTTGGAGGGCCTGGATAGTGAGTTAAAGTGACATCTCCAGGCTAAAACAGAAGGCTGTGGTGACCATGTTCATAGGAATGGACATTTCAGGCTGGATTCACATTCTCAGCTGAAAGTTCCAAATCTCAGCTTCTTATTATTAAAAGTGGGTTTTGGGGGTAAGGTATTGGTGATTCACACCTCTAGTCCCAACATTCAAGAGGCAGAGGCAGGAGGATCTCTGAGTTAGAGGCTAGCCTGGCCTACAAAGTGAATTCCAGGACAACCAGGGCTACACAGAGAAACCCTGTTTCAAAAAACAAGCAAACAAGGGGCTGGAGTGACAGCTCAGTGGTTAAGAACACGAGCAGCTCTTCCAGAGGACCCAGGTTCAATTCCCAGCATGCACGTGGTAGCTCACAGTTGTCTATAACTATATTTCCAGGGGGTCTGATACCCTCACACAGACCTATACACAGGCAAAAAACACCAGTGCACATAAGATAAAGACATTAATTTAAAAAACAAACCAAAACAAAAACACACACAGGTAGCAGGCAGGCATGGTGAATCATACCGTTAATTCTAGCACTTAGGAGGCAAAGGATCTCTGTGACTTTGAGGCCAACCATGGCTACATTGGAAGACTGTTTCAAAACAATAGTGTGTGTGTGTGTGTGCGCGCGCGCATGTGCACGTGTGTGTTTGCGTGCATGTGTGTGTGCTTGTGTGTGTGATTCTAGGGCTCACCTCACAGCATTAGTGTGCAAACTGCAGATTTATGGGACACATTTGAAGCAGTGTTGACACATTTATTATTATAGTTTATAGGCTCTCTGACCACAGAGAGCACATCAATCAAATTCTATGAGACATGGCTCCTGGTGTTTGGAGTCATCCTGAAGTACATAGAGTATCAGACTACACCTTAGTGGAAGATCCCTGCCCAGCTTGCCTAAGGACCAGCACCAAAAACTCAACCAATCAACCAAAAAACCCGAGCAAGGCATTATGACATACAATTTTTTTCGCCCACCACTCATGCATGTGGCCCCTATGGCACACACATACATACTTTTAATCTCCACACTCAAGCGCCAGAGGCAAGCCTATCTCTGTGAATTCCAGGACAGCATGTTATATGTAGTGAGTTCCAGGACAGCCAGGGGTATAGAGAGACCTGTCTCCAAGTCAACAAACAACCAAAAATCAGGGGGCTGGGGAGTTGACTCAGTAGATTTATTGCTTACCAGAGGACCCAGGTTTGGTTCCCAGCACCCACATTCAGCAGCCATGATGGCCTCTAACTCTAGCCCCTAGGGATCTGAAGTCCTCTTTTAGCCTCTGCCAGCATGCATACATATGAAAATAGAAAAATATTTCTTTTTTAAAATTATTTATTTATTATGTATACAATATTTTGTCTGCGTGTATGTCTGCAGGCCAGAAAGAGATCCCATTACAGATGGTTGTGAGCCACCATGTGGTTACTGGGAATTGAACTCAGGACTTTTGGAAGAGCAGGCAATGCTCTTAACTGCTGAGCCATCTCTCCAGCCCCGAAAAATATTTCTTTTTCAAAAAAGAAAGGAAGAACCAGGCCAGTCTAGGTCATATAATATAGCAAGAGTTTGTAGCAAATTAAAAAAAATAACTCTGGGCAGAAAGATCATGTCTGGTTGCATGCACAGGGATAAGCAAGTAATATAGTAAATGCTTGTTGAATTAATAAAAGGGAGAATGAGCAAGGTTATGGCAACCGGGAGCCACGAGTATAAATATGACACTTTCTGGACTGACTGCTTAGGGCATCTACAAGGTGGCAAGTGAGGAACTAGCTGTTGTCCTCTACCTGAACTTGCCACAGTGGCCAAATTAAGGCTGTATTCCACAAAACACCGGACTAGGGCTGAGGGCAAGAAGCCAAACACGGAGGAATAAGATGTTCTGCTTCCAAGCTGCTTGCTGTGGTTGGACACAGAGAGAGGAGATGAAGTTAAGTCTTGAATGGGTGGCCCCCCACCACATCCTGGCATTTCATCTGCCCCAACACTCCTTGCGCTGTCTTCTTTGCCTTCTGGCCAGATGCAGCTAGGATGCAGTCCTTGGCCCTAGGAGCCAGGCTTTGACAAAACCACTCTCCTAGAGCCCAGAGCCTACATCTGCACCTGCACCTGTTGAATAGAGATCCTCCTGGGGGAGTAGTGGAGCTGGAGAGATGGCTCAGTGGTTAAGAGCACTGCTGCTCTTCCAGAGGACCCGGGCTCAATTCCCAGCACCCACATGGCAGCTCACAACTGTCTGTGACTCCGGTTCTAGGAGACCGGACACCTTCACACAGACATAATTGCAGGCAAAACACTAATGTACATAAAATAAAAGTAATTAAAAAAAAAAAGAAATCTCTCAAGCCGGGCGATGGTGGCGCAAGCCTTTAATCCCAGCATTCGGGAGGCAGAGGCAGGCGGATCTCTGTGAGTTCGAGACCAGCCTGGTCTACAGAGCTAGTTCCAGGACAGGCTCCAAAGCCACAGAGAAACTCTGTCTCGAAAAACAAAAACAAAAACAAAACAACAACAACAACAAAAAAAAAACCAAAAAACACAAAAAGAAATCTCTCCTAGCCAGTTAAGAATTCAACATAATTGCTAGGCAGTGGTGGCGCATGCCTTTAATGCCAGCACTTGGGAGGCAGAGGCAGGTAGATCTCTAGTTCGAAACTAGCCTGTTCTACAGGCTCCAAAGCCACAGAGAAATTCTGTCTCTAAAAACAAACAAACAAACAAACAAACAAAAAAGAGTTAAAGGTGATATAGTGGTCTTCTCAAATGGAGCTGGCACATGGAGACCCTCAGCTGACCTCAACTTTGAGGCCAGACGTGGCACTGTCTTTTGATGGTTTTGTCAACTTAACAGTCTAGAGTCACCTGGGTGATGGGCCTGTGGACTTGTCTGTGACGAACCCTGGGCAGAGGATTCTGAGCAGTATTAAATAAAGAAAACTAGCTAGCTAGGCATGGCGGTACACAAGCCTTTAATCCCAGCACTCAGGAGGCAATGGCAGACAGATCTCTATGTGTCCTATGACCTACATAGCGAGTTTCAGGCTAGCCATGACTACACAGTGAGAACCTGTTTCAAATACAGAAAAGAGAGCTAGCTGAGCACGTGCATAATTCATTGCTCCTGTTTCCCAATTATACATATGATATGACCAGAGGCTTTTAAATTTTTGTTTAAAAAATAAAAAACACAGAAACAAAATTGAAAGCCAGGAGGTGGTGGCATAGGCCTTTAATCCCAGCACTCAGGAGGCAGAAGCAGACACACCTCTGAGTTTGAGGCCAGTCTGGTCTACAAAATGAGTTCCAGGACAGCCAGGGCTACACAGAGAAAACAAAACAAAACAAAACAAAAAAGCTGTTTGGATGTTTTTCACCATTCCTGGATGTCCTGAAATACCAGGTCAATTCATGAAATGGGTGAAACAAGCTCCCTTTCCAACCCCTACCTCCAAAAATCCTCTTAGTATATTGTCATTGGATAGAGGACATATCAGATATTAAACAGATAAAAATAAATGCTACACTTAATCTTAGCGAAAAGACTGGGAAATATTTAGAAGTACTAATTTGATATGCATGAATGTTTTGTCTGTATTGGGGTGCCTGTGTAAGTCAGAAGAGAGCACCAGGTTAGAAGAGGGCATTGGATCCCCTGGCACTGGCATATCAGTGGTTATGAGTTCCCATGTGGGTGCTGGGAATTGAACCAGGGTCCTTTGTCAAGAGCAAAAAAGGGCTCTCAACCACTAAACCATTTCTCTAGCAACCTGTTGCCTTTACTTT